TTAATTGCAGCTGAGAGGGCTGGACCAGAATGTATTACCCAAACATGAGTGGGGGAACCGGGAGGGATTTGTCCATTCAAGTGTTCCCTCCTGATTATTTTGAGAGATGGGGTGGTACCAGAGACTTTAAAGGTGGCTGGAAATAAGCCACTCCTCAAAAAGTCTATCTTGGAGCTGAAAAATACTATTAGCAATAGATTAATTTCTGACATCTGAAATTTGTCAGAATATAGTGGTTGTCACTCAACTCCAGGCACCCATCAGGACTGGTTTTAGAATAGAATTTTGCAAAATTCAACTAAAAGGAAAGGTTGGTAGGGTGTAGTGCGCCTAAGCAGAATAATTCAGGGTGTTGGGCCCTGAACTGAAAAAAATAAAAATAAAAATAGAACAATAAAGGGACAGAAGGAATGGAGTGTTGATCACATCTGGAGATGATACTAAAATGGGGTCCACATTACAGGAAGGATATAGCCAGTTTGGAATTGGTACAGAATAGGGCCACAAGGATGGTAGCCGAATTGCACTGAAGCTGTATGAGGTGAGACTGAGGGAACTGGGTTTTTTCATCCTGGAAAAGAGCAGACTCAGAGGGGATCTGTTGGTGACATATAGGTATGTGAGGGGGTGTCATGAGGATGTGGGTCAAGACCTGTTTTCCCCTGCGGAGGAGTGCAGGATGCATTCCACTGGAGCAAAGCTTAGGAAACCAAGGTTCAATTTGGATGCCAGGAAGTAGTTCCTGACAGATAGGACCCCTAGGGTATGGAATGGGCTTCCATATGAGGTGGTTTAAGCCCCATCGGTGTTCAAGGAGAGGCTGGACATGCACATGGTAGGTATGTCATGAGCGGAGCTGGCTGGAGCCAGGGATCAGGCTAGATGTCCTGGAAGACCCCTTCTGACTGTTCTATGTTTCTATGAATAGATGGAAGTACCATTTCAAACTCATAGTAGTTGGAAATGGGGTACTTGAGCCTGGACTGAAGCTGCACAAAAGGAAAAAAAAAGAATGAGAGAGTGTAAGAGCCTGAGGAAAACTGCAATACAGAAGACCCAGTCAGCCATGAACCATGCATGGATCTGGCATATTTACTACTACTCACTTGCGAAGCAAAGGAAAGATAAGAGAGAGAAAACAAAATGGGAAATTGTGGTACTATGCACATGGCAGAAAAACTGCTTTCTTCTCCTTTCCTTCTTATGAATCATTACAGCAGACTTGAACAGATGTCAAACTGACATTTGAGCCCTGAAATATAGTTGGAAGAGCAAGTTATAACTAATGCAGAGAAAAAGTATGGGTGTCAGGAAGCAGCACTTTTCTTCACATTTCAGAAATGCTATTTTTAGCCTAAGGGGTGCTGTCAAAGAGAAAAGGTAGCTGAAATGGGAAACTTTAAAATCTGCTCCCTAATACACAAGAGCTCTATGCAGACAGCAGCTACTTGCCAGTAGAACAAGTATTCAATTCCCATTTTCTCCAGGTAGGGAGTCTCAGGTTACCTAAGCTCTGCTCAAGAAATTCTACAGCTCATGATATGTTGAAGTTAGAGAAGTCCATAATGCTTATGATAACACAATTCCATATTTAACTATCTCACAAGGGAGCAGGCCAGCCAGCTGCAACTCTCTCAAAAGGCAATGCTCTTGTGCTTTTTAAAAAAATAATTTAATTAATATTTCAATCTAAAGTACAACCAAGAAAAAACTTACAACTAAAGTAAAAACATAAAATTAACATATGATCAAATAAATCTTAAAGATACTGTGCCCCCTGCCCCTGACTACCGGGACCACAGGATACATGTTATAGATAGAAAACTCATTCAAACATTCTTTCAGGACATTTCCCCCTTCTACAACTGCAATTAGTCTTTTAATGGTTCAAATCCTTTTACCTTTTCTAACACATACACCATAAATACACCCCAAATCTCATTAAACTTATTTTTCTGTATATACCCTTTTCTCACTTTAATATCACTTTAATGATATAGCTGTCATTAATAGCTATATTCCATACTCCTCCAATCACATAACTGATTATATTTTGCTCTCCAATTCTTAGCTAGGATTAATCTCACAGCAGTTAATAAAAGAACTAATAACAAATTTAGTATTTCAACTCCATTGTTTCTTATCAAATATTGAAAATAATGTGATCAGGGCATGTTTCAATATTTAAACTTAATATTTTACTACTCTCTTTAAAAACCTCAATCATTATATATTCCCATTCCCGCCACATATGAAAATATGTGCCTACTCCATGACCATATCTCCAACATAAATTGGAATATTTATTAGCTATACAGTTTCACTTAACCAGAACTTGGTACCACTTCCATACAATTTCATAAATATCTATAAATTATAAACAATTTATATTGCTTATAAATTATTGTAAAAAATTTCCTGTATTCCTACTGACATACATTTTAGTATCCTCTTCATCCAAATATTTTCCCAGTCATAATTACTGATGTTTTTCCTCAGATCTGTTTCCCATATTGCTTTAAGTGAAACCTACTGATCCTGTTCTTCTAACAACATATTATAAACTTTACTTATTATCTCTTTTATTCAAATATTCTCTTATTTTTCCTTTTCTATAATATCTACAAATTTAATATAATTCCTGCATCTATCTCTTATCCACTCACTAGTCCAACATTTCAATGGAGTAACATTATACCCAAGTTATCTTCTTCTTTGCTAAAATTGCTTTTCTCTCCCCATTTTTATTCATTTTCTCTAACCATTTTTTAAAATTTAATTATTTGTTTGTTCTTTTATCCTTTCCCTAAAATCTCTCTCAAATTTAATGGAAATACTTCTTACTCAGTAATTGGACATAATGGTGAGATTGACGGCATACATTTTTCCTTATATTTATTCCAAATTTGTAACATATTTTTATAAAAAGTATGTTCAACCTTTTAAAATACTTTTATTATTATATTTGAAGATTTGTCAAAGATCCTTCTAGTCGAGAAAATTCTAATTTTAGCCATATTACCTTGTTGGGTTGTAATATAATATAATATCTGGTATATGCCTCACCTGATTTGCTATATAAAATAAATTTACATTAGGGATACCCAACCCCGCTATCTTTTGTGATCTGTAACATATTTAGAGGGCCAGTGTGGCTGTAGTGGTTAAGAGCCTGGGACTGGGACTCAGACGATCTGGGTTCTAGTCCCCGCTTGGCCATGGAGCCAACTGGGTGACTTTGAGCCAGTGACAGACTCTCAGCCCAACCTACCTCACAGGCTTGGAAAAGATGGAGGAGGAGAATGATGTAAGCTGCCTTGAGCCCTTTCTAGGAAAGAGGCAGGATATAAATTGAATAAATAAATAAATATTTTTGAATTTATCCTCATTTTTTAATTCCCATTACAAAATTAATCATAAACCCTTGCCATTCTTTTATTTCTTTGTCTGTTACCTTAAATCAATAATATCATAAATTTAAAAAAAATTCTTGGGCAATATTTTCATTTCACATGATGCTATTCTACCAAGCCAAGATAATCCAATCTTCCTAAATTCATTCATTTTCTCTTTTATTTCATTTCTCAACTTATCAAAGTTATTCTTTTTTAAACATTCTTTTTAGTAATATCAATACCTAAATATTTGATAACTCTAGATATCTTTACTTTAAACTTACTCCTGATTTTTTTTCTTTCTCTTCTTTATCACTATTAAATAACATCCCAGTTTATCCCAGTTTATCCTTAAACCCAGTATCTCTTCAAATTCTTCCAGATGTAACCTTATCTGGTCCATAGTTTCTAATGGGTTCCTTATTGTTAACAAGGTATCATCGGCAAATAGGATAATCTTATTTTATTCTCAAAACCTATAGCTTTTATTATATTATCATTCCTAATACTGTTTTCCAGTAAATATGACTAAAGCAAACAGTATTGGGGAAAGGAGACGTTCTTGTCTAGTACCCATGCCTAAGGATATTTGTTCTGTTACACTGTCATTTACTAACACACTTGCAACACTACCTGAATATAATTGCTCTAAATTCTGTAAAAATTTTTGCATCTTGGTTTATCAGTGATGTGGCTCTAAGGCACTGGATCAGTCAAATCTTTATTAGGCTTAGGAATTAAAACTATTGTGCAATATTCCCAAGATGCTGGCATATTTCCTTCTCCTAGTATTTTATTAAACAAGGCCTTTACTTTTGGAATCAAAAGCTTTATTCTGGTCCTAATCTATCTATCCTGGGAGATTTTCCCTATTTATTAAAACTCTCTCTCATTTCTTCCTCTGTAACTGTTTGTTCCATTAGGTCTATATCCATCTGTTATAATTTTTCCCAAGTTTCTCTATATACGATCTAACTTTGTCTAATGATAATTCGCCACCTATCTATAACTTAGAAAAAATATAAAATATCCCTAATTTATCTCTTGTTGTATCCTGCTCTCCAGCCAGTGCTTGACAAGAAGTTGCACACAAGGAACCTGAAGCAAAGTCAGTGTTTGGCTAGCCATTCCGGCTTCAACCCCAAACAGTAGCAGCCACCTCCAAAATCATTAAGCAGAATAGCATATTAGATTTTCCCTCAAAGGTAGTAATCCTCAAAGCTGCGTATTTACACACACATACACACCAGGTTCTGTATACCATTCTCTTAGCCAGAATTGGCTCTCTATTTATACTATGCTTCTACTGTTGCTTCTTACAGTGGAACCCAACCTTAGAAAAGGTTCTATTTTCTGACCTCCCACTGCTTAATGAAGAGAAACTGCAGTATTTTAATTGCCAAATGTCTGCCTTTTCAACATTTTCTGCTCTCAAACCTCTTCTTTATCCCATCCTAGCTAGCTTCCATTTTGACCCTTGACATTTACTTTATCATGAGCCCAATCATTTCTTTTTTCATTTGTAATTCTTTTGTCCTTTGGTCCTCTGAAGAATGTTTAGAACACTGATGTAGCACCTCGTTTAACTTTACATTTGATACTCACCCATCTGTTCTACAATCTCAGGTGGAAACACCCGGGAAGCAAATGCCCGCCTGAAGATATCAGAGAATTCTTTATCAAGGCCTCCGATGCCCATCTTCTCAAAATTCCAGTCAGGGTTAATGATTGACTGACGATTTTCCCTAGTTTTGGATTTGCCTTAGAAATTGAAAGAGAAAAGCTCATCAGCACAAGAAAATGTTGCAAAATTCAGTTTTCTGTGGGAAAGATACCAAAGCAAGCATCCAACATAGTATAACCTAAGGTTAGCTTGTGTAATATGAACTAATGAGAGAAGGTATAGTTGCAAGAAATATGAGTGAGGAATCCCTGATTTAAATCTGAGTTTAGTCATAAATCTACTGATGAGCATAGGCAAGCAGCCATCTCTCAGATTCATCCTCACACCATAGCTAGCATGGTGATAATGATTCTGGTCTAATAAACAGGGCTGCTGTTGGGATCAGAAAAATATTAAATACCCAGAAAAAGAATTATATATAGTCATTACTTTAATGGCAGTTAAACAAACACTTAATGCATCTGCATGTAACCAAAATTTCTTTTAGTTTCCACAAACAGGAGAAATGGAAATAACTTATGTATGGGGCTCCTTGGTAACAGGGCAGTTTTTGACAGGAAAATCTAAACTTGGCCTTTCAGTTCTTCTATCTTCCTATAAAGAAAGGGAAATCTTAAATGTGCCTGGGAGTCACACATACTGGCCTTACTTTCTCGCTGGGATGGACAGCAGGCACCTGAAGGCTCAGCCAATCATTTGCTGCATGGCCACAACATGAATAATTATGTCCTAATAAGTTATCATTGACATGCAAGCAGAAGACCCCCCCTCCCCACATTTACTTTAAAGAGAAGAACCTCATGCATGTGCAGAAAACATGTGAGCCGTAACTGTAAAATATTACAGTGACTGCGTGGATGAAGTGTCTATGGCTTCATATGGCTACGTTCCCTTGCTCATAGCATTCAGATTTTCTTCCTTTAGCAATACTCCTTTAATATGTCCAAGATGCAAATCTGTCCACTTTTATTCTTTCTTGAATTTTTAATCCTCTAAACATCCATGATCAGTATTCCTTTTTATTATCATTATACATATATATAGCAATATTTATATGCATGGCACTTCACAAAGAAAAACACAGGTTCTTGCTTTGAAGGATCTATCTATAATTTGACAAAGGGAAGGCAACAGAGGAAGGTGAAAGGCAGAAAGGATGGGATAAAACAGGAAAAAAGTATGTGTTATTCCACTTACACATGCCAAGGGGAAAAGCTTAATAAAAAGTAATAACAAAATTCTCTACCACAAAATCTTCTATGTTACTAAAGTTTACTTCTTCTCATCCCCTGGAGATGTGCAGGGGGAGGGTAGTTATTATCTTTAATAATACACACATGACACCTCAAGTACAAAAAGATTTAATGTGGCATAAGCCTTTTTTTTTTCTTTTCAGCATAAGGCTCTGTGTTGCTACACACTCTGGAAAAGCTTAAGCATTTGTTCCATGATTCAGAATGATAATAGTTGCAAAGACTGAATCTTCATTTTTTTGGTAGCTACAGGGGCTACTAACACTCTGCTTAACATGCCAACAGGCTCTTTACCTACATTATTTCCTTCTCAGGTGCATTGTGTCTTTCCCAGATCTATGGTGTCATTTTACACTACATAATATACTACTGGTTAGAACAAAACATCACCTGTTTGAAATGGCATCAAAGACAACCAAGTGAAATTGCATCTTTCAGACAGGTTTGTGAACAACACAGTAATATCTCAAGGTATTTCCCCTGTTAAAATTGCCTTCATTTTCTGTGTGATTGTTTTTAAAGTATACTTTCAGAATAGAACAGCTTCAATATCTCCTATGCTTAGGGATGGACACACTTCAGACTTGCAGAATCTATACTGCTTATTTTTCCTCCCTAAAACCATTATATCCAGCAACATGGTATAAATAATACACCTCAAATTAAAGAATTCTAGGTCAAGGAACTTCTTCTGAGTACCAGAGCTGAATATAGTCTGAAATCTTTCCACATATAAATCTACCTAGATTCTTTACACTTCTTAAATTTCAAAATATAATTTAAGATGGGGTATGCATCATTTTGTTGCTGCTCTTGTTAAATACTTGGGTATCAGAAATTCTTGTTGATCTCCTGCATCTCATTCAGAGATCTAACAGTAGATCCAGATCTATCAACAGCCCAGTCTCGCCTATTCTGCATTCCACTTGTGGAAATGAAATGGCATTGGTGGCAAAACTGGCATGGTGGCAGAGAATAATCTGCTGCTCAAAGAACTGAAAAGAATTAACTAACTCATGTGAAGAGAAAGCTGTCTATTTGTTTGTCATTGGTCTCATACAGGCTGGAAGAGGACTATTAAAAGGTCTTGGAAGTTGCAGAAGCTAAGGAAAAATGAGTCCAGAAATAAGAAGGTGTGGGTAAGAACTATAAAAGCAAGTGAAGGAAAGATAGGTGGAGAATGAGGCTTGAGGGAAAGTAAAAAAGAAACAAAATTTAAAAAGGAAAACAATGTAAAAAAGAAAGAGCTAATCAGGAAAAAAAACCCTCTATGCTAAGTTGTTCAGGAGAGGAAGGAGGACTAGAAAAGATGGTCAAGAGACAGGCTGCCTAAAAAAAATGAGCAAACTAGGCAATGGTCTGAATAGTGAAGAGCTAAGTAAATAACAGATGGTTGTTGTTGTTGTTGTTAGTCGCAAAGTCGTGTCCAACCCATCGTGACCCCATGGACAACATTCCTCCAGGCCTTCCTGTCCTCCACCATCCCCCGGAGTCCACTTAAGCTCACACCAACTGCTTCAATGACTCCATCTAGCCACCTCATCCTCTGCCATCCCCTTCTTCTTTTGCCATCTATTGTTCCCAGCATTAGGCTCTTCTCCAGGGAGTCCTTCCTTCTCATTAGGTGGCCAAAGTATTTGAGTTTCATCTTCAGGATCTGGCCTTCTAAAGAGCAGTCAGGGTTGATCTCCTCTAGGTCTGACCAGTTTGATCTCCTTGCTGTCCAAGGGACTCACAGGAGTCTCCTCCAGCACCACAATTCAAAGGCCTCAATCCTTTGGCGCTCAGCCTTCCTTATGGTCCAGCTTTCACAGCCATACATTGCAACTGGGAAAACCACAGCCTTGACTATACGCACAGATGGTAAAAATATGGAAATGAGAGAGAAGGTGCCCGGGTTGGTGGGGGGGGGGGCAATGGAACAAAACTACATGGAGTGTTGAGAGACATGAAGGAATAGATACATTGAAGCAAGGCAGCAGGCAAGAAAGAGAGGCATGCAGGGCTAAAGAGGGAGAATCTTAGACCAACAGAGCTTAGGATTGCTAGGTTCAGGCCCTAGGTTTTGACTATAGAATCCTGTGTTTGTTTCTGTTGGTACTGCAGCTTTGTCAGCACTCAGCAGGCACCAAGGACCAAAAAGAAGCACACTAAAGCCAACTCAGACTTCAGGATTCTGGTGTTTTTTCCTTAGTTTACTTTAATCTCTTCCCAGAACAAGGCAGAGATAGCCTCGTTTCACTTCTCTTATTCTCTACTGCCACACGGTGGCCATGGGTGGTAATGTACATTTTAACAACAACAACAAAAACCCACTGGGCAATTTCTTCACTTAGGATGATTTGATTTCAAAACAGGCTCTCTCATAATGCCAAGTGGGCCTAAGGAGGTGGTGGTGTCACTAGAGGTCTTTAAGCAAAGACTGGACAGCCATCTGTCAGAAATTGTATACATTGGATATATGCACTAAATGGGGAGTTGGGTTCAATGACCTCCCCAACTGTACGATTCTAAGACTTTAACAGACCTTTCCCAAAGAACTGGACACAGAATTAGGAGTAACATCAATGAAACAAACCAATCTACACTGAGCAGTCCAAAGCAAGATGTTATTAAGAGCCCCAAATTCTGCTGCTTCAAGAAGAGAAGGCCTAAATCTGCATGGGAACTAGGGCTTTTATCTTGAGGTAAGGTAGAAAAGCAAGTCCCATAGAATACAGAGACTTTGCACATTCAGAGAGGAGCTGCAGACTTCTTGCATACAATTGGAAACGAAGACCAGAGAAGTGAGGCTGAGAGATCTGGGCCTGTTTAGGCTTGAAGTCTATGAGGGGATATGATAGCACTCCATAAGAACCTCAAAGACTGTTAGAGAGAGAAAGGAAAAGTCCTCTTCTCACCTTGAGTGTAGGACACAGAACAAACAAACTGCAGCACACCAGATTCAGGCTAAACACCAGGGTAAAATTCCTCACTGTCAGAGCAATATGACAGTGGAACCAGTTTCCAAGAGAGGTCATGGGCTCTCCCACACTACAGACATTCAAGGCAAAACTGGACAGTCCTGAGTGGGATGGTGTAACCCAATGGCCTTCTTGGCCCCTTCTGACCATACTATTCAATGAATTTATGAATTTGCTGGCCCAGCATTGTGTTCTGTTTGCTTCAATTCCACAGTGTTAACACTTACAAATTTCAGATCTTGCCTCAGGACTACAAGCAAATGAGCCCTCACCATTAAATTTTCTAACTTTCTTGTTTAAGTCACAAAGAAGAAAAATATGTCTTTAAAGCTGTGAGACCCTAAAAATCAACCACTGTGTGAGCAGATATGCTTAAATGATTCTTTTGGCTCTGTTATTTAGAACACTCACCTAACTCCCTCCCACCGTCTTGTTCACCTGGGCCTGAGATAGCCAAATATGCAGAATACTACCCATCAAATCCCCTCCTTTCCTCACATCAAGAAAGAAAGGAATGTTAGTTGTCTTCTTTCTTTCCTTAATGGCTGACACCTAAAAGTCCATTTTTCAGCATCCATGAGGAATCTTAGAAAATGGACTTCTTTTGACTTAATTGCTACATCTTGGGAAAAGGGATAAAAGGAGCAACCCAAATCCATAAATACAGAGAAGCTCCCTTCCACCTAGGAAAGACCCTTTACATGTTCTGCTCAGAAAAGCAATCCACTCCCTTTTGGTCCTTTTCACTTCTGAGAGGGAATTCAACAGGCTATGCTTCAGTTCAATTCAGCAGATATGGAAAGCTGTATTTTTGCATTATTGTCTATTCTAAGTTACTCTCTTCCATTCCTGGCTCACTCATGATATTCTATGTACCCAACTGCATCCAGCTCCATGTTTAATGCTTGCTATCTGCAACCTTCCCAATGATAATATTTGGTTCTAATTCCTGAATGTTTGTATGGTTCTAACTCCCCTGATGTGTGATTTTTATTCATTTTATATTCTTCTTTAACAAATACAAAAAGAGCCTTGGTATTATCTTTGATTCTCTCAGCCTTTCAGGGTATCAGATTTTCCTAAGCACTCAGATTTCAATGCCAAAAAATCATCTCATGTATGGGTTTGGTTCATGTCAATGAAAATACAGGTTTGTGTCAATTAAAACATACTTAGAATCAACTGTAAGACTCTGGTAGAGGCTAATTTAAAAAGCAGCCTTTTCACAAAGTAGTTAGTGGAATCTTCCTCAAATTCAGTTTACCATATAAGGGGCCTAAATGTACTTACTAGGCCACGCAATACATAGCCCATTAGTATCTAAGCAATTAATGCTAAACTTTAATGAACCTTGGCAACTATGATCAGGCAGAGTGATAGCATCTGCAGTTGGAAAGTCCCTGCCTGCATTTTTCAATTCTACAGTGGGGTGGAGGGGATAAAAGCCTTCCTTAAGAGAGTGAGCTCAGGAAGCTATGATGAGTTCAGGGTGCTACCATTCAATGAACAAAGAATGCAACTGGGGGTAAAAGTTAGGGCAGAGTGTTACCTGTGTATGGCAGATGGCCTCTAATGAAAGCTGGAGGGTCTGCTATTGTTGCAGGGAACACCTCTGAGAGATGTAGCATTAAGGATTTTCTGTGCTTGAGTTGCTCATTTACAGAAATGCCTCCCCTGCCAATCACAATAATTAATATTGATATATGTGAACAGACACACCAGACAGACAGACAGAAAGACAGAAAGACAGAAAGAAAGAGGCAAGCTAGCTAGCTAGCTAGCTAGTAACTTATGTGGATTTATTGACAAGGCTGATATAACACCGCTTGTGAAAAACTGCTTGATTATTCTACATACCAATAAGAGTCAATGAAGAGCTTTCAGCCTTTTCAAAAGCAACTTGACTGTTCCCAACAACAAGACCAACCTCGATCTGAATATGGAAGAAAATAAAAACCCACTATTAAAAAAGCCCTGAAGAATATCCGCATTCTTAGTATTCTACAGGAGCTTCAGACTGCAAGAACAGAATAATTTTATATCCATAAACCATCTGTGGACCCTGTGTTTTCCAGGGAACACCATGACTTTAGTTTCACTGTAGTTTACTGCCAGGTATTCTTCATTACAAAACTTAGAAAAATCCCTCAGCAATCTCCTTAAGCCCACTTTAGTCTGAGAGAGAAGTACAGCACCATCTGCATACAAAAGGATGGAGACAGCTGTTGTAGCCAATTTAGGGGCATGAAATGTTAAATTCTTAACAACTTTGTTTATATATGGAATAAGCAGTATGGAAGCCAGAATACAGCCTTTGATTACTCCCTTTATGACTAGAGCAGGTTATTCATCTTTAGAATGTCACCAGGTATTATTGTATAATCAACAAGAGGAGTCTTTTATCTCTAGTTAGATTTAATTTATCCCAAAGTCTTGTATGGAACATTGATTCAAAAACTGCCTTCAGATCAATGAAAGCTGTATATAATGCACCAACAGGTTACCTAACATATTTATCAATTAAATGGACTAGGGCAAAGCAGTGATCTACTGTGGATCTAACTTGTCTGAATTCTGCCTGCTCATTAGTCAGAAGAGTTTGATCAATTATCCCATCAATTAACTTGTTATAATAGTGCTTTGCATATCATTTACTAATTAAGATGTCTTGCATATAATATACTAATTACATATAACAAGTTAATTGGGTGATAGTTTGCTGGATTAGTTGTAGGATCTTTTTTTAAATATGTGCCCCAACCTTCAGGCACTTTCTTTGCTGAGTCAATGAATGAAAATAATATACTGAAAGAGGAGCCCACCAGTTAGATTTCAAAATTTCTGGAGGTAGAAAATCAATGCCTTCTTCAGCTATTACTTTTTAACTGAAGGAAATGGTTCTTAATTTTTATATCACAACAGGGGAAATCAGCAGGCAGCAGAATATTTTGGATTGGATCTGTAATCTGCTTTCTGCAAAAGTAAAGTCCCACTGAGCAGGATCCCCCCGCCACCTCACATATTACTACATTTAGCAGGAGCTCCTGAATCTCTGTAGCATTTCTGGGGGCTTGGATGCACTGCCATGGGAAGAAGGGGGAATGGAATTCCACTTCCATCAGTGCAATTCCATGCATATTTTGCATCATGAGAAGAAAATGTTTAACTGTTAATAAAAGAATATGCTTAAGATTGAAGCAGCTAGTGATTACTTGCATGTGGAATGAGCCAATAGGGAGCAGCACGTCTTATCACCTTACCTGGGACCAAACATTCAGGTATATTGGTCAGCAGTGCCCAACCAGATATGTCCATAAAGTAAATAGCCTTGCCTCAAATTCAGTGGAGTTTTCACATATTTGGCTATTAGTCATGCATCTGTGACCCTCACCTTCTGCTTTTTTCCTGTGCCAGGCTCTTCTTTAAGGATGCTGGGATCCATAGCTTCAATGTCCTTAACCAAAAGGCCGAACAGTTTGTCATTAAAGCTAAAGACAAGCTGTGGGAACATAGTAAAACATAAGGTTATTAAAATATGTTTTTTTTGCTGACAGAATGGCAAAACAAACAGAAAACTAAACCTCCAGTTCAATCCTGGGCACAACTTGTCCAGATTCTGAGAGCTACAGAGGATATACATTATGAAATTTGGACCTCCGCTAATTTACTTGTTTTAGAGCAAAACTACGTAACATTCTTCATGTTGGGCTGCGGCTAAAAGTGGTGGCCATAACAAGAGTGTTGATCCTTATGCACTCAAAATAAATCCCTGCTAAGCAGCCCAATGAGGACTGAATATTCTCAGTTGCAACTAAATGATTGAACAACAGTTGGGAAAGGGGACAGAAAACTAATTACATTTGCACTTGCGCAACCCAGGGCTTCAAAATATGTAGTTTTGATCTGATTTGTACACCTACATTTTGCCTTATGAAGATGGTGATCTTCTTGGCAAGATAGTCTTGTACTACTAGTTTTCCCACTTCTTCCTAGGTTCATGCAGGCAAGGTTGCTTAATGCGACCTTATCAATGAATGGGCAATACAATCAGAGTCTACAGTTTTTGTCAAGCTGCTGAGCAGCCTGCTAACAATCTACCTGCCCTGCCCTCCTGCTGTAGGTCCCCTGTCCACGCAATTTCTGCTAAGCTCTTCATATTCCTCTCCAATGACAACTTGAAGGAGATATGCTTTTATGTGGGGCTGAGAGCAACTTTCTTCCCATTTTCTACTGCAATAGCTGTGCTTCCTCCTGCTTATGGACACATGATGCTACCTTACACCAAATCAGGCCACTGGTTCATCTGGCCCAGTATCATTTTTATTTGATTCATATAAGCTCCTCAAAGTTTCTGGAAGAAGCCTTCTCCAGCCTTGCTGCCCTGGATCCTTCTGATTAGAGATATCAGGACTTTGCCCAAAACATTTGCATGCAGAAGGGTACAAGCAAAGTTTGTTGAATCATGTGCCCGTATGTGTGAAACTGTGCATATTTTATACCAAGCTTCTTTAAAGGAAGGGATGGCTAAGAAATGTTTACTTACTTTAAAGACTTCTAATCACACTTTCTTTTTTTACAGAGCTTCCCATTTCTCTCTCCCTTTCTAGCCTCAGGATACTTCTGCAGAGTCTAAGGATTCTTTATACAACACAGATTTTCAGATTTCATGTATTATTTCTTCCTCTTTTTAATTTTTCATGGTTGTAGAAAGTACGCCCCTATAAACAAGCTTATTATCTTGACTCAACAACCCATTGAATTGCCTTGTGAAAAAACCCCACTACTTGTATCTGATCATACAGAACATGCCCTGCAAATAAATCCTCCAAAGTTCTGGTCTACAAAATATGTATTCACCAAAGCACCTCAGATAGATCTTTTTGTCATTTGCAGTCTAAAAGAAAGAACCTGTAAACTTTGGCAAATATTTAATTCCTGGTGACAAATGTTAATTCAGCTATCTGAGAATTAGCTGCTTCCAAGAAACAAGTTAAACCCATCTTCACAGCATAGGAATGTTTGTTAGTAATATGTGGCACATGTGCAAGCGAACAACAAACCTGTTGCCCAACTGTGAATGCCTGGTTGTTGAACTGCTGGATGAATTCTGCTGCCATTTTGTCAGAGTCATAGGGGTTAGAGTCAACACTCTTCTTCTGCAGGAAGTCTATTTCAATAGTCATAGTGCCAATGCACTGTTTGGTCTTATCAAACTTATATACAGAAACTGTGTGGGAAAAGAAACACACACTTCAGCATAGCACTAGAAAATCCTAACTCAAGTTATTTCTGGTCACTGAGATGAGGCAAGTGCTCAAAGACAACAAAAAGCATCTTAAATGTGTAAAACATTTGAACAAAAGCAAAAAAGGACAACAAATCTGAACAACTGTTTTGTTCTGAGGATGTATTGTTCATAGAATCGGAGAATAGTAGAGCTGGAAGGGACCAATAAGGCCAGTGGGGTCAACACCCTGCTCAGTGCAGGACTTGCAGGTTAAAGCATCCCTAACAGATGGCTGTCCATTTAATGTTTATTTAATTAGCATACCAAATAAGCATTTAATATGTTCATCAATTGTTTAATGGCTTTGTGCTATGGACCTTCTTGTTTAAACTTTTAAACAAATGGACCAAAAATATCTTCCCTATTTGCCCTCCTGCCCCCTGAGATCGGCAGCAGAAGCCCTCCTCTGGGAACCCTCTGTGAAAGATATTAGGAGACAGAGTACCCGGAGGAGGGCCTTCTCTGTGGTGGCGCCCCATCTATGGAATGCGCTCCCCAGAGAGGTCCGCCTGCTGCCGTCATATGTTTTTTGGTGCCAGGTTAAGACCTTTTTATTTAATCAATATTTTAATAAGTGTTAATATTGAATTTTATCATCATATTTTAATTGCAGCCAGAGTGGGTCGTTAATTTATTTATGTTATGTTAGGTATTTGTATTTTATTTGTGTAAGCCGTCCTGAGGCTCTTGCAAAGGACAGCATACAAATATCCTAAATAAATAATTAAATATATTTATAAACATAAAGCTAAATAAATAAATAAATATCTTTATAAACATAAAGCATATAACTCTCCCTTATCTTCTGATTACTCTTTGAGGCCAGGAGATGCTCTAATCCAGGGGTCCTCAAACTTTTTCGATAGGGGGCCAGCTGAAAGGCGGCGGCTACACAAGGAGGCCCGTGAGGTGGGGGTGCCTGGCATCTCCGATCGAGTGAGCCACCACCTCCCCCCCTCCGTGCGCTGTGAGGCAGCAACGAGCGCTCGCGCACAGGAGGCAGGCAGCGGCAGCAGCTTGCTTGCTCAGAGACCATCTCCGAGTGAGCAAGCCACCACCTCCCCACCTGCGCAGCAAGCGTGTGCACAGGAGGAGAACGGTGGCACGGGCCAGATGGATGGCCATGGTGGGCCGGATCCATCCTGCGGGCCGTAGTTTGAGGACCCATGCTCTAATCCCTTGCCCTGAATGACTCAATGAAAAACTACATTAGTCAGACTGCTTAGCTTTAAGACATGTATTCACTCCACAGTGGATTTTGCTTTGAAGGCAGTTTAATTTTTGAACGTAAACATACTTGGTTGCAAAACTAGATTGCCAATTTTTACTAAACAAAAACAAAACAGTATAATCACCCATAGCATTTGGCCTATTGATCCATTCATATAAATCTGCAACATCTTACAAAGCAAGATATGGAATCTTCATTTTATAAACTCATAAAATGTTTTCTACATTTGTATATTATCATCTTGTCAGACCTCTGTCTCCATTTGTAACCTGAAGACTACATTATATTTTTCTGTGACAAATAAATGGCAACCACTCCCCAACAATGTTCATCTTTAAGATCACCACAGTTAACAAGAAGAAGCAAGCATGTCTCCACCAACCACTCAATTTAAGTAGGGAGTGTTGCTGTTAGGACATCCCTTCCGGCAGAACTCCAGGGCCCCATTCAGCTGCAAGGAGGGCCCCAAATGCTAGGTTTGTCACTTTTTGAAGCAAATAAGTAATACAGATGGTGTTACACATTCTCATCTAAAGAAAGGAAATGCAAGACCATTAAATGCAAAGTTTAACATTATCAAGTTTAATTACTGTAAGCAGCTGTATTTCCACCAAGGATTTTTGTTCAAAAATTGTTTTCCCACATTGCCAATTGTATTTAACTGTGTTTACAATTTTTTAAAAAATTATCATCAACATACTGGAGGCCAAGCTTTGCTTCATATCTAAAGCAATCTACTGATGGCATTTGACTGACAAAATCCAACTAAGCAGGCCTTCATATACATGAATCCATGACTTGCAGGAACATAGTCTGATGTGATCCTTGTCCCATCATACGGTATCTCAATCAAGCCATTTTAAGAGTTGGTAAATAAGGTGAGGAACATGTGCAGCCTTTGATATCATTCAATCATTCTTCTTAGAGATTAAGAGGCCAAGGTTAAGTATCCTTATAGTACTGCACCATCAACCCACAGTACTATGAAGCTGCAGAATCTGCTGAACTAAATGGTCTAGCATGTCCCTCAACTGCTCTTATTAAGTGCAAATTGTTTCATGTTGGAAAGAAGAGTCAGTGCGGCATAGTGGTTAGGAATGCTGGGCCTGGGACTCAAGCAATCTGGGTTCTAGTCCCCATTCAACCATGGAGCTGACTGAGTGACTTGGGGCCAATCACAGACTCTCAGCCCAATCTACCTCACAGGATTCTTGTTGTGAGGATAAGACTGGGAAAAGGAGCAGGAGAATTATGTAAGCTGCCTTGAATTCCTTGAAAGTGAAAAGGTGGGATATAAATATAATTTTGTTTTATTTTAAAATAAAACAAGTTCATTTCCAGAACATATAAAAAGTCTAAAGCACCCACTCATGCAATCAAATAAATATATAATCCCACCATTTTTGCAAAAACTGATTTTTATAGACTGCCTAAATGCATTGTGCCAATAGTGATCAAAAATTGATTTGCAAAGGCTGACCAGTGCAACAATAATGTTTGATATCACATAAAAGATTTCTAGCTCTTGATGGGTTTGATTTCATACTAGCAGATGTTGATATTAGAACCAGGAGCATGAAAATAAAGGGAGGCATGAACATTGCACAAACTTCCAGACAGACACATGTGGAAGTGCACACACAATATCCTTTGTCAGGGAGGGAGGCCATTCAAGTCAGAGATGGAGGAAGGGGTTTATTCTCAATACTGCAGCATTTACAGTTGCAGTAGATCTACTTTTCCCGATATAGATTATATGGGGACATTGAATTCTATGACATAAAGAGGTACAGTAATAGGCATTACTTGTGAGAAAGAAAACTTGACATTCACATCTGATATCACCAGCAGGTTTGCTCTTCAACACATTCTCTGGATTTCAGTCCATTTTACTTGATTGCACAGAAGTCAATGAGAACCTCTGAGAATTGAGACTGATCCTAGCCACATAGCCCCACTTTGGATGTAATCTTGGAAATGCTAAATGTGACAGAAACTTGAACTTGATGAACATATACATATGTCTGACTACATCTACTTGATATGTACTTTAACCTTCAGAAACAGTCTCCTGACTTAAGTACATATGGGAATATGTACACCACACCTCCACCACTAAGCATCCGGTGTGTAGAGGAAATTGTATGTGCTTCCTGAAAAAAAATCTCCAGAAATAACATATTTAATTATGAAGAGAATACAGGTTTACGTATGTCTGCATGGGTCGCATCCTTTTGCAGGCCTTTTGCTCTTAGCCAAAAATGCATATTACAAGTTAGAGCCAAGCTTCTTCTGTTTTCTCCTCTTTGTAAGAGAGATGTATCACAGCACCACTTGGGAGTTTAATAATCTCATTTTGGAAGTGGTTAAAGTTGCATGCCAAGATGCTGCTATTATTTCTTTACAGCATTATTTACAACTCTCTGTAAATCACCGATACAAAATACTGAAACATGAATGGAACTGCCATTTGTTGCTCAGTCTCATATTATGGAGCAATGTACAAATTAACTTTTAACACAGGACAAAAGCAATCCACAGTCTCCTGCTTCTTCTCCACAATGTTTATAGTTTCCTCAGAATTATAGCAACCACTGCCTATGATGTATCAGGCACAGATGCTGCCTTAATGAAAGCTTGATATCAAGAACTCTGGACAATGTATCATAGGAACAAGAATGAAAAACGGGGCATGGGGAGAGTTGAGCTTCCCATCTTTCTCCAGGGCAGTACCATGGGGGTGCAACCCTGATAATTCTGCTTGATCTCTCATCAGATTTTGGTATCACTGACCATGGCATTATCCTGGATAGGCTACATGGGCTGGGCATTAGAAGAGGCACTATGCTATAGAAGTTCTGGTCTTACCTGCAGGTATGATTTCAGCGAATAACACTGAAGGATAATTCCTCAGCTCCTTGACAACTGTGGGGTTCTGCAGGGTACTATCTTGTCCCCAATCTTGTTTAAAATTTATATTAAGCTACTGAGAACTGCCATTAGGGGATCTCAAGCCAAGTGCCATCTGTAGACTGATGACACACCATTCTATCTTCCTGTGACTGAGTCAGATGAAGCTGTGCAAATGCTGCATCAGTGTCTGGACTCAGTGATTAGCTGAATGGAGGACAATAAACTGAAACTGAATCCAGGCGAGACATAAATTCTGTGGGTAAAGTGGTTCCCAAATATATGAGATAGGCTCACTGCCTGCTCCAGATGGGACTGTACTCCCATTGTAATTTTGGATGTCTGTAAGATAGTCTGGTAATATTCCAAAATATATCACTGTTGCTGCAGTCCCAAGTGACCATGATAACCCCAAGTGCCTTTTACCAGCTTCAACTGGTTCACCAGCTATGGCCTATCTTGGAAAGTGAGAGCTTAGCCAGAAAGGTACAGCCTCTAATAATCTCAAGACTGAACTTGAGACTTATTACACTGAACTTTACATGGGGCTACCCTTAAGGCTGATTTGGAAGTTGAAGCTAGTACAGAATGCAGTAGCTCCTCTCTTTTCAGGGGCTGTCCTGTTTCAACATGTTTAACTTCTTTAATGAGGGAACTCACTGGCTGCCTATTTGATACTGGGTCAGGTTTAAAGTCTGGGTCATGTTGAATAAAGCCATAAAACCTTTGACCCAGAATACTTGAAAGAATGTCTTCTCTCTTACCAATCTGCTTTGTCACAGAGGCCATGCTCCACAGTTCCACAAGGATTTGTGACCTATCCAGAGAAAAATCTTCAGTATAGCAGCTCCATTTTTCTGGAACATCCTGACACTGTATTGTTTCTGGTGCCTCTTGAAAGAATCTTTATTTCAGCTTACTTTTCTGAACTAACCAGCTACATTTTTAAATGATTGTCTGAATATTTTTGTTTTATTCCTTTTATCTGTTCATCTTTTTATTGTTCATGGCTCCAGCATCTCAATACCAGAATATTAATTTTGTAAGCAAACAAACAAACTCTTATATTTTAGTTTTTTGCTTTCATTTCTTTTTATTTCTATTCCTTTTTCTCTTTTGAGGGGTAGGTGGGTGGGTGAGGTTAAACCACAGATTTCTTCTACTTTAACCTGATTATGTCATTTCACTTAACACTGTCAATTTCTGAAAAGTGTCATCACCTGAGATTGACTAATTTATCTCTAGCCTTTTTTTAAATCCCAAAAGATATACTAAATTCAGTAGACTATTTCCTTATTTTATTATTAATCTCCTATTCCATTTCCTCTTAACCTCCTGTGCTTATCTCAATTAAACTGCAAGCTCACTAACTTCCAATCTATTACTATTACTCCTATTATTTTATTAATGCAGCAAAACCTGATGCATTGACCTGAACTTCCCACATCTAACAGAGTGGGGCACTAGCTGGCTTTTGTTTCCATAATATTCATACACATGCAGCACCTTATTTAGCATCTCAGATGATCTAGGCAGCAGAGATAAGGAAAAGAAGCTTTATGAGAAGAAAAGTTAGTCCAGTCAAGAAACCAAACAAATTTACAACAAACACTTACCATCTATTTCTTGTCCAATAGAAAGTCCAGCCCATTTTCTCTGAAAGAAATAATATGGGAAAGAAAAAAGCACTCAAGAAAAATACTATTTACAAGAATTCAACAATCTATATGAAGATTGTAAAAATGGCTGTCTACATGAATGGTGACCAGCATGCCATCTTTTGGAAAATGATGCTAGAAGTCATGTCCACAGTAAGAGTTTGAGTCAATGAGAGCCGGCATAGCATAATGGCTAGAAGATGGAACTACTTGATGCTTACCTGTGCCACCTCTCAGCACGAAAATGCCCCACCCCATATGCAGCATGGGAATAATACCACCTGACCACCTTTACAGGGTCCTTGTGGAGATTACAACAGTGGGATAATGTGAAGTGCTTTGAATATTCTACAGTACTATTTAAGTCACACAGATCACCCAGACAAGCAGGCACACTCATTTAGGTAGCTTGCATGTTCATGTCCATAGCTTCAATCATGGTACTCCTTCACCACATTGGCTACTGTATCATATCATAGTTTATTTTGATTACCATTATCCACTTATAAATGAACTCGCTCCTTGTTTCGCGCCGTATCTTTCAACTCTGCACTCCATTGAACTCTCAATTACTTTTCAGGCTTACTGAAACACAGAATTCTAACTACATTCCTCAGTTTTTTTGGATTTTCCCACATAGCACCCTATATCTGAAATGGTGAGATCTAGAGTGCTCTCTCACCCTCACTTTAAGAAGGTGCCTTAAAATTCATTTGTTTCAATTAGCACATTCTACCTTTGGCCTCTTCCTCAAGTTTTTTTCTTTTTCATTTCTTGTTTTAACTCTTAAGGAGAATCTCATTTATTTTGGATTTTTTGTAATATGCCCAGTTATATGAGAACTGTAGTAACAGTAATAGTAGCAGTAATCAGAAATCATTTATATTTCTATATACTGTCTCAGCCAGGGCTCAGTATCAGCAACACAATCCCTTTATAGCAGCCATGTGAGCTATCATCATCATTACTCTCCAGTTAGAGGAATAGAGATATGAATTTCCCACAAGATCTCAGATGGAATCCAAGACTTCAAATCAGGTCCCCCAAGCACACACCAGTTTTATTGTTCTCTTAATCAGAATTTAAAAAGAGAAAATTCTGCACTGCAATTTACTTTGCAGCCTTGAGGGCAATAATCTCCTCTTTATTATTTTGCTGGAATAAGAAGAAAAACCCTCCCATGAAGCAAATAACTCATAAAATTTCATTCATAGATTCAAAGTGTTAGCTGGTGTTGGGAAAATTTAGATAAATCCTTATAGAAAAAGGTTGCTTATATGTGCCTTTGTGTTACAAAATCAAACCTGTAATATCCCTGTGCCGCTTTCTCAGAAATTCCAAGCCAGACTTCTGTAGCTGTTCCTTTAAGAGACTGAAAATGTGGCTGCTATATTTAATTGCAAAAGTTTTGCCAAAAGGGGGGGGGGGCTCCCAAGGAAAGTTACCCCCCCCCCCATTCTTGTGCTAACAGCAACTAAACTGATAAGGCCAGTCAGGCTTTCCTAGCAGTATTGCAATCACCCAAATGCACATGTTCAAACCCACAGCCAAGACTGCCAATAATCCCTGTACCATCCTGATTATCATGACAATCTTCTGTAATCAACACTATTGTCTTAAGTCCCCTCCGCAGATTTCTCACATTCTTTTGACTGCTGCTATGTACATGGCACATACCCTATTAAATACTGTTCTAAAACCTTGTAGTTGGATGTGAGGAAGGCTACCCAGTAGCGTGCTGTCGTAAGCAACTGCATGGGTCCTGGGTGATCTCACCAATAAAACCACTGGGGCTCAAAGTAATTCAATCTTCCTTACAGGTCTGAGTGTTCATTCCCACATTGGTTTTGAGGCTCTGACACTGGCAACACAGGAGGTTGAGGGAAGCCATTAAAATTAATCACACATCATAAAGTGTTGCTGCAAATATGATGCTACTAGTGCTACTTTTGACACATTTCTTCTCAGAGATTTGCAAGTACTAAATCAGGAAAATATTAGGTACCTTCTTTCAACAGCTATAGCCATAGACCCAGTACAAAAGGGCCTATTTAGCAACAGCACTGCCTTCCCAAAACAGCTACATACTTCTCTTCTGTATTGCACATGGCTGACTGTAGCAACAATAATTTTGTTACAAGTTGTAACAAAAACAGAAAGAACATTCTGAACTGAGAACAAATTTAGCTCCTGCTTTCTGAGCCACCAGTGTAAATAAGGAAACATGAAAGGTAACATTCTTTTTATTATCAAACACAAAATGTACAGATTTAGATGCACCAAAGTTTTCCTGAGGCTCATACAAATATTTTTCACATGAATTTTCATTCACAGGAGAGTGGGTAATATAACAGGTAATATCTTCAATAACAGCTTTAGAAAGCAGCCAGGAATACTATTCCAGTGGTAATTTCTTCATGTGACTGTACTGACCTGGCACCCACAGAGTGCAGAAGCAGAACAGACACAATAGTAATAACTGGTACTGGCTGCTACCGCTGTGAGTAAAGCAAGCCCAGCCTCCTCAATGCCTTGAAGTTCTCGATCCTTTCAGCAAAATCAGCCAAGGTACCCAGTGAGAGCTCCTGCATTGCTTTGCAGCCCTCTTGTGTCCTTACGCAGCTTAGGCTACAGCTTTGCCCAATGCACTCTGAGTACAATCTGGTGTGGCCTTTCTGAGTTCTCCCATTTTCATTTCTAACACACACAGTTTGGGAGAACAAGGTAAAAGATTTATTAAGATTTCAGACAAAAAGTTACGGAATGGGAAAAAAGTATAGTCCTTTTCAAAGCACAAAGCGATAAGCATTTTAAAGCAGCAAATTCAGTGGCAAATGGCAAAGCAGACTTGGTTTGCCTACTTGGTTTTTCAAAGAGCCATGGTCTCTGGTACCTGTGTCAGATCCTTCCTTTCCTGCTATGAGATCTATGCTCTAAAACCTTCACTGAAAAAAACATCAAGGAAAAGTCCTTGAACCAACTTTATCAGTAGAATATATGTCTTTGGGTTCCCCCATCCCATCTAGATTGGCATTTCTACAAAAGAATCAGATCTAATCTGACTGATTCTCTACATATTGTTCATCTTTGACCCACAGATGGATTCTCAAGGATCCTGTATTGTTTGGTACCCAGATGATTCACCAGTCATGGGCTTGCTAAGCGGAAGCGCTTGGCCTTGAGATAACCTCAGCCAATGCTTTTGTACCACAATGCCTGCATCTAGCATGTAGCAATTAGTACCTTTTCTGATTTTAGCAGACAACAGCAATTGATTTTAAAATTTAGATATCTTAATAGTCTATTTATCTTAATAGTAAATGATGAGATGAGACTGATGAGAACAGTAACTCTGAGTGGGCTGAAGCTCTGGCAGGGGATTCAGGTAGCAAACCAACACAATTGCTGTTGCAGATGCACTGCAATTTGCTGCATTATGGCTGATTGGACTTACTGCAGATCAACATTTTGTCCGTTCTGAGGAATATGACAAGAGATGCTTCCCAGCTCTCTACTTCCAAGCAATCCCATATTTCCTGTATGTTATTTACGTAATAAGAACTGCTTCAGCAGATCAAACTCAAAAGTGCTTTTAGTCCAGTGCTCAGTCTCCAATAACATCTGACCAGATATCCTAGGATGTACACACAGACAATGCAGTTTTGCTGCAAACTGTAACTTTTATAATCAGCATCCATTTTGTTCTTTGTCTAAATGGCAGAAAAAGTCAAAACCATACCTGTGGTAAACTGAAGGCAATGGTGCCTGGAACAACTGAGGAATGACTTTTTAGTGTAAAAATATATTTGTGGTTTGGTGAGGTCTTCACAAGTACATGCCTGCAAGGGGAGGGGAGGAGAAAAAGAAGGATCCATCATCTGGGCCGTTCTGAATGGCTTTCACTTCTGTGAAAAAATGTATCAAGGCTAAAGCTCAAAACTACGTACACTTTATAAAAAGTTGTTTCCTATTTATTCATTTTAAACCCAAATACAATTTATAGGGAAGCCACATCAGATCAGAAGGGCATGCAGAGAAGGGCTGATTACCCCTTTCCCTCTGCAATCCTTTTTCAAGCCAAAATTACCCTCCATGAGTTTTTTTGCCTATGGGTGGTAAGAAAGATAAACAAAGATGATTCCATATACCCCATACCTGTAGGTGAAAAGTCTGCTTTGGAAAAGACTACTGTAAGTTATAAAAAGACCAGAAGGGAAAGGAATAAGTAGACTTGATGCACCTGCTCTTCTACTCCAACACAACTTGTCTTAAGCTCCTTAAGTTTAAAAGAACGTGTGTATGTACTCATAGGGAAGAATGACAAAACTTTGTTAACTTTTTAGGGTTCTATCCAAGTTAGGTTAGCTTAGATTTACATGAAATCAATGTGAAAAGTTAGTAATGACTAACTTAAGTCTCACTGGTCTCAGTGGAAAGCAACTGTGTAACCTACACTTTAAGCCTTAGCTCATATGCCCAGGCAGGGAGCTTCCAGCACATCAGATATCAGTTTCAGGGATTGTATTTGCCTTTGTCTATGGCACAAATACATTTTTAAACATTTTACTCTTCACTGCTGCAGAGAAAAATGTGGAAATATGAAAGAAGGTATGAATAGCTTACATACAAACAAACAAACATGAATTTCAACTGAGTGACAAGCAAGGGATGCTAAAATTAAACTTTCTCTCATCAAAGTACAGAGAAAGCAGAACTGTCCATCTATTATATAGACTGTCATTAAAAAAGTCCCCAAGTGAATTTTTAGTAATCCAAAAATGACAGGCATCAAAGATAATTAGACTTACCCAAAAAGACGTTATCAGGCACAATGTCTATTCTGGAATACTTATGCTTCACCAATACAACATAACAGAATGTTGGACATACTGTGATAAATTTCTACTATGGATGGGAATT